GTGAGTAGGCCTGGATGATTTTTTTTAAATGGAATACCCTGTATGTTATTGCATTTTTGGCTTCCTTTCAGATCACTTTACATAACCTTAAGATATGAATAAATATATTCCGATAGTTTCAGTGATATTAAAAAATAAATAAAAAATATATATTTTTCAGCCCTTCTTAAAAAAATTATTAAAAATAGAGGAACTGTTCTGAAATCAAAAGTATATTAGGTATTTACTTTAGATGGTCTGTTTTTACTTTTCTATAAATATGGTAATCGTAAATCATACAGGATGTTCAATATTCTACGCCAAACCTTCTAAAATATAAAATATTTTTTCTTTGTTTTTTTAAACGGAACAAATTAAAAAAAATCATCCAGGTCCACTCACACTTTTTTGAGCCACCCTATAGAAGTTAAAATATTTTCCTGAAATACATCTTGGTACATACTGTAGGTTTGCACTAAACAAAATTCTCAAGTTTTTTATTCTAGGAACTACAGATGCCCGACGCACTATTGCCGGACCCTGTATATAAAAGGTTGACTAACCATGCAACCATATACATTGATTTGTTTTGATCGAAAATATACAGGTAAAATGTAAATAAACTCTAAATTTATTTACAGTTTGATTTTATTACAGAGCTAATACAGGGTAACCCAGACTTCAGAAAATGTTTTGTATTAATAATATAATAATAGTATATATTTAATTAAATATATACAACTGTTTTGAAATATTACAATTCAAAAATATTATTTAGTAAGCTTTATCTTCGTGACAGTTGTTGGTTGTGTCCTCCTTGATCTGCAACAGTTTGAATATTTTTAAGACTCTCCCTGGGCAGGTGGTATCGAAGGCATTGTTCTTTTTTAACAAATTGGTCTATGTCGTCTACGTTTATACTATATTTTAATTTTTTTCTTAAATTTTCTATAATTTAATTGTGTTAATTCTTTTGGTAACATATTATATATTGTGGTAGTTTCTGTTGTTAGAGTTTTGTTGTAAGTTTTTTTTTGGATTCTCTTGGCTGTTCTGATGCCTGATTTTCTACTAGTTTCGTAAGTGTGTTTGTTAGTTTTTAAAGAAATATTTGTTTTTAATAATTTATTTTTGATTTTGTGTAGAAGTAATATATTATGATATTTTATTAATTGTCTTATGTTTGGTTCTTTTGTTTTTTGGTATACTTCTTCTGTTGGTGTTAGTTTATCTAGGTTAAATATTATTTTTAGTATTTTATTTTGTTATCTTTGTAGCATGTTTAGGTGTTTTCCGTTGCATTACTCCACATATTAATTAAATATATATTTCTTGATGAAAATATTGTTTGATATATTGGTTTCTTCATATTTTGTGGTATTATGTTTTTAAGTTTTAGGAGTGTGGCAATTGTTCTGGCGTTTTCTTTTTTTTAAACGATTTATATGCGTATCCCATTTGGTTTTTGGTTTGTGATTTTTCAATTTTGAAAACATTTTTGGCACCATACAGGCTGATTCAAAAATATTTTTAAACTAAAACTGTATATTTTAAATGGAAAACTATATATTTTCTAGCTCGGTGAATTTACCATTAAGTTTCCATTCCAAAAATATCATATCATACACTATTGCGGAAGTAGTTTTTTAAAATATAACCTTTTTTAAACTAAATTTACTGTTTATTAAAAGTTCTCTCAAAATTATAAATTCGGAGAATTTTAAAAATTTTAACAGGAAGTACTGTATAATAGTATCTTTTTCAAAATTCAGTCTACCAAACTTTGCAATCTTGTTCTTTTCTTCTATTTTACTATTTTAAATGGAACGCTCTATATTTAGTATCCTTCGAACAGAGTTTTGTTTTATTAAGCAAACTAAGGCATGCAATACCTAAAATAAATATTTACTAAGAAAGTCGTAATTTTTTGAAAATATAAGATAAGATTTAAATAATAGGCATTAATCATTAAATGTGTCAATCATATCTACACAGTGTAGCTGTAGGTTTTCTGTCATACAATAATGAATATTACGTTTATTTACTAATCCATTACTTTTAAAGGTAGCTACATCGGAAAATAAGATTTTAGTTAAATGTTCCAATCTTCATGAACTGTATTCAGCATATGCATTGCGAAATTCATTCTATTGATAAAGCCATTTAGATCTTGATGTAGTTCCAATTTACAAGAATGAAACTTATGTGTTTTTATAATCCTATCGACACTACTCTGAGAAACGTCGCTTAAAAACCTACGAAAATCCTAATTCAGAATCGTGTGTCACCCTGTATAATCCATTCTTTAAAATTTGAAGATATCATTGGGGTAGTTTCAGGATGTTTATACAGGGTTGTTCACCACATACGACACGGAGTATGGTAGCTAAACGATTAGATTTTTACAAATTGTAAGTTCTGGGTTCGTTGAAGGACTATTAGAGCTAGAATTTAAAAATATTTTTACGAGATACAGAGTGTCCCAAATAAGTTAAAAATATTATATTTTTATTTTTTTAAATGGAACACCCTGTTCCATTTAAAAAGGTTTATCACACTTAAACCTTACCGTTTTTGAAATATTTTCAATTTTATGAAATTGCACTAAAAATTTTAAGGCTTTATTTCTCCAAGGGTATCAAAGTTTTTAATACTAAATATTTACTGAAGATTATTTATTGATCAGATATTGTGTTGCTATAATAAAAATTTTACTACCTTATACAGAGTGTTCAAAAATTTATATTAAATAATTACTAGCTTTAAACGGCAATAACTTGTTTAATTTAAATGGAACACCCTATATATTTTACATGAATCACATGCACAATGTAATTGTCTATCAAATTGCATTATACCATTTTTTACCTATCTCTTCAAGTTTTTGTAGAAAATGCATTTTCTTATAATTTAGACCTCATTTATCACTATACCCATGAAATATTGACATTTTAGATTATTTTTAAAGATGTAACAAATTTTCAAAGAGTATAGATACTAATATTGTCTATATAGTTCGCTTATTTCATTAAAAAAATAAAAAAAAATTGTTTAAATATTTTTTGTTAACAAGGACCAATTAATATGATCCCAGCATTCAAACTACATTAATTGACTGTTTACATTGATTAATAATATTTGCTCCAAATACTCAAAAACTCAATTTTGTATGTGTATTAGACAGTGTGGTAAAAAGTAACACTTTATACATTTTATTTCATTTTTTGACGAATGCTTATTTATAAAAACAGAAACGTTCATCTTCATAACTTATTATTATATTGATTCTGAGCCAAATTCACACACACATTTATTTAGAATACTTTATTAATTAAACTAAAACTAATAATATATAAATAAATAATGGATATGTATATTTAATTGGTATACTCTTTCACAAAGATTTAAATAGTTTTTTTTGTATACCAATGGGCTTGCAATACATTTTGTACATATATGTTGCTTTAAAAAAATCTGAAATGTCAATATTCCATGGGTATAGTGATAAATGAGGTCTAAATTATGAGAAAATGCATTTTCTACGAAAACTTGAAGAGATGGGTAAAAATGGTATAATACAATTTGATAGACAATTATATTATGCATCTGATTCACTTAAAATATATAGGATGTTCTATTTAAATTAAACAAGTTATTGCCGTTTAAAGCTAGTAATTATTTAATATACTTTTTGGACACTCTGTATAAGGTAGTAAAATTTTTATTATTGCAACACAATATCTGATCAATAAATAATCGTCAGTAAATATTTAGTATTAAAAACTTTGATACCCTTGGAGAAATAAAGCCTTAAAATTTTTACTGCAATTTCATAAAATTGAAAATATTTAAATAACGGTAAGGTTTAAGTGTGATAAACCTTAATGAAATTTACCTTTATTTCAATCGTAGAATCCAAAAATAGAATAATATACAGGGTGTTCCATTTAAAAAAATATAACTATAATATTTTTTACTTATTTGGTACACTCTGTATCTTGTAAAAATATTTTTAAATTGTAGCTCTAATAGTCCTTCAACGAACCCAAAACTTACAATTTATAAAAATCTAATCGTTTAGCTACAATATTCCGTGTCGTATGTGGTGAACAACCCTTATAAAAAGAAAAAGTGTTAGGTGGAAAAGTATTTCTATTTACACCAAAATCATGTAGGTCCTTAATTTACTGTGTATTATGTATGTCAAATATACTAGCTCGTAAAAGCTTACATTATCATTTTTGATGTAAATTTCAAAAATCATGGATTTTGTATATTCTATCGTACAGAATTTTTATCCTACTTGATATACCAAAAAGCACAGACTTTTTGACACAGAACGTGAAAATATAAAAAGCAAAAATGTTTTATCTTGTAAATCTTGAACAACTATGGTGTTGCCAAATTGAATTTTAATAGCTGAAAACTTGTGTATGATTATTTATTATATATTATGAATGAAGTTTATCGATACGAGAACATGCATTAGTATGTATCAATCGATGAATAAAAAAAGACTTTAAATAAAAAAGTTGTGGCGAAAAAATCTATATAATTTAGTCATACCATTGATGACGCGGTATGTTCTACTTTAGATAGGGGAGCTATACTATGAATATTCTTGATTATAAAATATCATCCTTAAACATTTTAATTTTTATTTAATAAATATCACTGAAGCACAGATGACCTTTAAAATAACTTCATAAATGCTTTTAATTACTTATACGTTATTAACATGACATTGTTTTAATGCTACCCGAGGATGCTACCCGAATTTTTTGTGTTGCTCATGATTATTTATGAAAATAATAATAATTTAAACAATTATTTAATAAAAAAATATTACTGGGCATACAAATCAATTAATTTGTCTATTATAAAAATGTGTAATGTATTTTCATAAATATATTAAAAATCGTATTATATATTCATGCATGGAATTATTATATAAAAATTTCAATTTATTCAACTGAGTAATAATTCAGTTCAATATTTTACAGTGTTTGTTTATATTTCAGAATCTGTAATTTCCCGTGCTGCAGATGACGATTCAGACATGTATATGGAACCATTAGAGGATCACGAAGGTGCCTCATCCAGCTATCAACCACAAGACAGTAGTGAGCAATGGTAAGTGATATCCAGAAATTGATTCTAAATATAAGTTAATCTTATTTTATCTAACAATGTCAAATAATCCATTTAGCACTGTTAGCTAATGGTAATTTTAAAATAATTTAATATAATATGTCTGTTGCATGCTCTGTTTTATAAAAGTAAAGTTAGTTAGAAAGAGAAAATTTATTTTTGATAAAATTGTTATCTATTTTTCAAATTTGTTTCTTGCGATTTTCAGAACTTTTCCTACATTAGATTTCCTCTCCAATATTTATAGAAATATTAATCTCTCCAATATTTTCCTATTAAAACAACATCGACTTAATAAATAATATTTTCTAATGCCGTCAAATGAAAATTAATTATGAGTTTAATTAAGACTTATTATTAGCTAATGCTCAATTTTAGTAGCAAATTGGTATTTCACTTCTATTAGTTAGATGCATATTTTGTAAAAGCAGCGAATGGCAAGGAATAAACACATTACTTCCTATTCGCTTCGCCATTTAAAAAATGAAAAATTATATTCCATAAATATCGATTTTGGAAATATACAGTTGTTCATAAAAGCTGTATTCATATTACATGACATAAAACACAAGGTGTGCTATTTGAAACATGTACAGAAAAACACTGCATCTAGTTTTGACCCACCGTGTATATACTAACCAAGTTTCATCTGCTAAATTAAAACCATTTTATCATCTAGGTGCATATTTTCTCCATAGTTGGTTTTTTATTCATCTCAATAGCTTGCAGATATTCAGCTATTGAGATTTTTTTAGGAGATATTTGCTTTTGAAGAAAATACTACATTTTTTAGTATTTTTTACATTAAAACCATTCCTTTGTTTTTGGTCCTAGTCAACAGACCTATAAAATGGTGTTTATGATTTATGTAATGTCACTATTTTTAAAAAATCGTATTTTTATTATTGTCTGTTAGACAGTTTCTCTAGCAGATGTTGTGTTAAGTTCAAAAGTTGATCCCTACCATGATCAATTAAAGCAGCAATAGCCGAAACTTCAGAACTATATCTACTAGAGTAAAACTATATCTACTAGAGTAAACGTCAATAAACAATAATAATACGACTTTTCAATCACAGTGATATTACAAAAACAATAAACACTATTTTATTAGTGTGTTGATGAGGACCCAAAATCAATGGCAGAATTGCTGTAACTTGTTACTGTCTCATTTAAAAACGAATATCTCCAACAAAATTAAAGCTATTGAGATGAATCAAAAAACAAACGATCGCAAAAGGGCGTACCTAAATGATAAAATGTTTTTTAAATTCCTTGCTTTGTTAACATATTCCACAGGGTGTCTTAAACTTTCACCAAAAAATCTATCAATTTTGTTTTCCCTAGTATAATTGATAGATGGAAGCTTTCATTTTCAATTTAGAAAGAGATACCAAAAAGTTAAACAATTTAGCTACAAATTGCTTATAAAAGGCCTTCATTAAAATTGGCCCATTATCTACATATACAGGGTGTCCCAGAAATAAGTGCAAATATTTTAACTGGTACAACCCCAGAAACACGCCTGAGTTTTTTTTTCCGCGAAAAAAAAATTTTGAAAATTCGAAATTTTTTGAAAATTTTTTTGGATTTTTTTTTTAATTTTTACTTAAAAACATAATTTCTTGATAATATGAAAACATAGGTATTAGATTAAATTTACAAGAAAGAAAATCCAGAAAAGATCCAGTGGTTCTCAAAATTTTAGCAAAAAATAATTTTTTTTGGAAATTTTCAAGTAGTAACTGCGTTACAGTAATTTACAGTAAATTTACAGTAACTGCGTTACAGTAATTACAGTAAAATAACTCCGTTATTTTGGACTTATTTGAAAAACGATAAAGACAAAATCTGTTTCTTTTATCGAGATCTACCACCCCTTAAAATATTTGCACTTATTTCTGGGACACCCTGTATAAAATGCTAATGTTTATCAGTGTCGACTCTACTGAAGTAACGACTTGCTTTAGAAAGTTGCTTTTTTTACTAAAAGATAGCTAATTGGCTCTTCTAAAAACTGTCGTCGCCGGATTTTTTGTTTTTCGTTTAATTAAAAAAAAATAAAAAGTATTTTTTTTCCTGATATCGTGGCGGATGCGCCAGGCTTCAACTAGTAACAAAGTATTTAGAGTTATCCAGGGTGCACCACGGGGAGGCGAACTAGCTTTGCACTTTTTTTGAATCAATATATACATATACATATATACAATATAATAATATAAATTTGTTAAATGTTCGTTTGTAATTTTTTTTCTTTTTGTCATATACGTACAGTTTGACAAATATAGGAAGAGACTTGGGGATAGCACCGGTCGCGCACACGATAGAGAGAAAAATCTAAAATCCGCATTCGGCGGAAGAGAGATGCAGTTACGCTACGACAAATCTGATTAAAGCAAATTTGTGTGCTGTCCACTGCGCATCGAGGGGCGTCTCTTATTTTATATTTCTCACGTCTCTAGCTATACTTGTTAAGTTGTACTTTGTGTCTTAATATGTCATACGCTAAATAAATAAATAAATAAATAAATAATAATAACAAAATATATTAAATTTTAAACCAAAATACATCAAACATTTAAGGTTTTTCGTGCCGGCGAGTGTAAATTTAATACAGCAAAAAATATAACGTTAATTAAAATTCTATCAATAACAATATATCAGGAAACAAATTCTATACCGGGTGCGTCTCAAAAGTGGCTCACCCCTATAACTTTTTTATTTTTTCAAAAAAACGAGATTTGATATGTTAGTATATGACATAAATTAGGATTGATTGACGTATTCAATTGTTTTCGGTCACTTCCTGTTTCACCGGAAATGACTACAACTTTTGATTTTTAAATGGCACCCCCAGGATTTTTTTACTTTATTCGATAGAAAATGTCACTCTGAATAGAATGACATAGCATATGTCAACTTCTGATATTTTCGCATATAGTGTATTTGAAAATATAACTTGCAGTTCGTAACGAAAATTTGCTCCAAATATGCTAATGAGTCAATCAAAATGAAAAAATTGAGATATAATTAAAAATACGATTTGAGCATTTTCTAACTGGCCAGGACAAGACACTAAAACATTCAACATCAAATCTGTTTTTCCAAGCCTCCTTGATTAAGATTTAGTGTTTTTAACATAGTCATGGCACTCTAGATTCAATTGTAAAATACTATTTTTTATTAAGCGAGAATGTCAAATGTTGACATATGATATGTCATTCTATTTAGAATGTCATTTTCTATCGAATAAAGTAAAAAAATACCGAGGGTGTCATTTAAAAATCAAAAGTTGTAGTCATTTCCGGTAAAACATGAAGTGACCAAAAACAATTGAATACGTCAATCAATTCTAATTTATGTCATATACTAACATACCAAATCTCGTTGTTTTATCTGAAGAAATAAAAAAGTTATAGGGGGTGAGCCACTTTTGAGACGCACCCGGTATAAAACTATATTTTCATGTTTTTTTTTAAATTCTCTAAATCGGTATGGGAATCTACTCTTTCTAAATAATCTCCATAAAAAGCTAAACTTTTTATGAAGAAGGCATTTTCTCTCAAAATGTCAATAATAGAAAAGTGTTTCCTCTTGGAAAGACAATCCGGAGACATACTATATTAATTAATTTCGTGACTGAAGGTAACTTTTATTAAAAAAAAAACTATATTTTAGACGTTGTTTTACACATCAAGTATATATTTATCGTGATGAATGAACTGGTCGGTACGCCAAAGACCAAGGTATGAATTAACAAACCGATCATGATTCCTTCTTCGCTTCACCGACTGTAAAATTTATGCGCTTTCGTCATTTTGTCAAGAAAGTTGGGACATGCGAGTTTTTGCAATCAGCTGGTACCTACATTTCGGTTGTGGTACAAATGTTTTTTTTTCCTTTGCAACCTTTAATGGCAATTTACTATGCGACTGAATTTGCAAAGGTTAAACTTTTAAGTTTCGGGTAATTAGTATGTCTGGGACAGGACATTTATTTTACACCAATCCGTTCCGTTTTAAGAAGGATATTTCCTTTGCCTTGAATTGTTCCATTATTTAGAATATTCTTGTATCACTACTGGAATTTGTCACAATTTAAAAAACAAGATGCGTTGTTTATAGCGGGTGCGTTTCAAAAGTGGCCTACTTCTATAACTTTTTTATTTTTTAAGATAAAAAAAACGAGATTTGGTATGATAGTATATGACATAAATTAGGATTAAATTAGGAAAAATTAGGAAATGACTACAACTTTAGATTTTTTGATTGAACTTTAAAATGGAACCCTCGGATTTTTTTTTACTTTATTCGATAGAAAATAATACTCTGAATACAATGTGATTATCATGTCTGATCATATGTCAATTTTCGACATTTTCCCTTAAAACAAAATTGTATTTTAAATTTCAATCTAGAGTGGCTGTGTTAAAAACCCTAATTTTCAATCAAGGAGCCTTGGAAAATAGATTTGATCGTCTAATGTTTTTAGTGTCTTGTCCTAGCCGGTTAAAAGATGCCCAAATTGTATTTTTAATCATATCTCAATTTTTTCAAGTGGAACGATGGTGGCTCATTAACATAATTGGAAAAAGTATTTTTTATGAATAATTTAGTACCACATGACTTGGCATTTCGAGTCAAATTATCGATGAAATCGCATGTTGCAATTTCAAATAAACCATATGCGAAAATGTCTAAAGTTGACATATAATATGTTATTCTATTCAGAGTGTCATTTTCTATTGAATAAAGTAGAAATATACCGAGGTTGCCGTTTAAAAATCAAAAGTTTTAGTAATTTCCGGTGAAACAGGAAGTGATCAGAAACAATAATTGAATACGTCAATCAATAATAATTTATGTTATATACTAACATACCAAATCTCGTTTTTTTATCTGAAAAAATTAAAAAGGTATAAGGATGAACCACTTTTGAGACGCACTCGGTACAACTAGACCTTCCTGTATATTTGGACGCCCCAACGTAAAACTGAAACATAGTAAGTTGTAACATAATATGATCTAAAAGTTTTATGATCAAGAACACTTACAATATTTTTTAGTTTTACGTTTCTTTACGGACTCATAAATGTAATTTTTAGATTTATGTAGAGCAATTTAATGTAAAGATAGACTTGTCAATCAGCATTTTTTGCCAACTATTTTAATATATCGTGTATCACCGGCGACTCGTAGTAAATCCCAAGTAAATTTCCCCATACATGATTAATAAATGTTCTCCATAACATGTTAGAGAAGATCTAAAATATAACACTCGTGTCACGTTTTGACAAATATCATAAAAATTACACAGATAAAACACAGAGTTAACACGACACCGTAATTATTTAGTTTTAAGTTTTCGTAACTATAAAACTATTTTTTCTTATTTATAATGAATTCTTTCACCTCGTCTTTCACATATTTCATAAAAAAATTATTTGTCATTATTTTTAAAATTCACATGGGATTTCCATCGTTCAGGTTAACTATGTCAACATACAGTATGTCCCCGGATAGTTTTTATAAGAGGAAAGCCTTTTTTATCCACATTTTGAAAAAAATGCAGTCTTCATAAAAATGTTTGTTTGTTCTAAAATGGTTAATTCCTTCTATAATTTTCTAAATTTCCATATCGTTTTATATATTAAAAGAAAACATGAAAATATAGTTGAATTTTTAAGTTCTAAAAATCAAAACGCGTTTCTGTGGTTATATAAGTCCATTTTAAACAGTTTTCTTTCTCTCATAGATTGTTATTGATAGAATTTTAATTAACGTCATATTCTTTGCTGCTTTAAAATGTTAAAAAAGCACAAAATTTATTTGGTTCAATGCTGCTTTGCTGATAGGGTAATCATAGTTATCGGAAAATGTGATACTTTAAGAACAGCAGAAAATATGACGTTAATCAAAATTAATAATAATCATCTATCAAAGAATGAAATAGAAATTATATTACCATAGAAAGACGCTTTGATTTTTAGGGCTACATTCAATCTTATTTTCATGTTTTTTTTCATTTTCTCTGAAACGGTATGGAAATTTGGAAAAGTATAAGCGGGATTAACCATTTTAAAACAAGAAATTTTTTTTTATGAAGAATACATATTTCTCAAAATGTCAATAATAGAGTGCTTCCTCGTGTAAAGAGAATCCGGGGACATACTGTACAGGGTGGGTCTAAAATAAGTGCAAATATTTACAGGTCTAGTAGATCTCCATAAAAGAAACATATTTTTCTCTTTACCGTTTTTCAAATAAGTCTAAAATAATCAAGTTATTTTAATTTGAAAATTCAAGAAAAGTGATTTTTTGCGCATATTTTGAGAATCACTGTTTTTTTTTCTGGGGTTTCTTTTTTGTAAATTTAATCTACTATCTATGTTGCCATAATATGAAGATATGTTTTTAAATAAAAATTCCAAATTTTCAAAAAAAATTCACGAAAAAAACCTCTTAGAAGTATTTCTGGGATCGAAATATACCACCCCAAAAAATATTTGCACTTATTTAAGACTCACCCGGTAAAAGATTCTCGTCTCATAGCAATCGTCTTTTGAGTTGTATTATTTGGTAGATACCTATTTTTTTATTTGATGCATTTTGCTATGTTTACTCTGCTAACTACCAAAACGAAACTGCAACTAAACAGTCTAACGATATAATTGGATATTGTTTAGTAATAAACGATTCTCTTTTTAGGTTTCCATCTTTTGCCCGATCGTATGAGACGTATGATCACCAACCGTCAGGCCATTCCAGACCATTCGTCTACAATACGTACCCACAGCAAGAAGGTAATAAATAAACTCACATATAAATGTCTAAATTTAACTTGCAAATACTGATAGACGCATTGTTCTGGATTTCTTGGGCTGAATTTAATTTGCAGTAAAATATATTTTGTTTTATTGTTAGACAAGTTATTTATATAGAGTGATTCACGGCGATAGTACCTACGTTAGACGTTTATGAAGAACCTGTAATAGGATTTTTTTGGAAATTTGGATTTTAACCGTGGCCGTGGCCGTAGCTACCATGGGGCAGGGTGGGACACTTGCCTCCTACCTCAAGAGAAAATATGTATATATTGTGTTGAGTCAACGGTAAACTTAATACTGCCAAAAGCAATTCTGCTTATTACTGTAACTATGTATTGAAGTGTTTAAATAAAACAATTATTTAATAAGTACAGGGTCGGTCAAATTGGACGCTTTTAAAGGGAAATACCCTTTTCTATAGGAGATAGGCGAAAACTAATATTGGTGTCTGGAGCTCAATTTTTATTATAAACATGATGGTGGAAACCGCACATCGATATTTGTTACCGTTTCGGAGTTACGGGGTGTTTTTCAAAAATGTGCATTTTTAACAAATCGCAATAACTTTTTTGCTATGGAAAATTTTGTATTTCTATGAATACATTTTCAAAGCAACTTTTCACGAAGAATTTAACGGTTTAAGTATACTTTTTTTAAAATTAATAATTTAGGAGTTATCAACAGAAAAATTGATTTCTTATTTGGGACACCCTATATATTTTTAGTTAAATGAAAAGAATTTAAAATTATTTCTTTCCAAAAATATAGCACACTTGATATTTTGTTATAATCCCCTTCGAAATACAGAATTTTTAAAAGTTCGCCACTTTTAACTAGTAGGCTTTTGGATCCCTTTATTGATGATCTGCTCCTAATGGAACTCGAAAACATATTTTTCTAGCAAAGCGAGGCACCGCCTGGGAACGCTGCAGCCAATTTCGAGAATAATTAAATAGCTAACCAAGATCCCAGCCGTTGGCCGTCGAGGCCGCAGGACTTAGTGCATGGATCTAATCCTATGAATATCTTTGCCGAAAAATAAAGGTTCTTATTTGTAAATTGCAAGTATAATCTAGACAAGAATTAGAAGTAAATTAGAAGTATGTACTTAGCAGTTATGCGAGGGTATCTTTCACTCCCACTGAGTTAATGAATGCCGCGAGAAATTTTATTTTATTTATTTTATTTAATGTTCAGTAACGGTCCCGTCTGGACAACAGAAGACGGTCGATATGTCGAACACCTGAAGCAAAATCTCATGTCTCGGTTTGCTATTTATTTTTATTGTTATTAGATATAGTTTAAATGTGTTGATGTTGTTTAAATATAGTTTAAATTCCGCATTTCTCAATGCAAATATTATTTTCGCTTTAATTGCTTCTCACCGGTAATTTTTTTTTGCATTACAGCCGGAGCCGTTCAAAGCCTACTTATTCGAAGTGGGCGAATTTTTATAAACCCTATATCTCGAATAGGAATCGAGCCAAATATCAAGAGTGCTATATTTTTTGAAACTTAATTTTAAATTCTTTTCAATGAATTACAAATATACAGGGCGTCCCATATAAAAAAAAAACAAAGTTTCAGTTGATAATTCTTAAATTCTTAATTTAAAAAAAAATATACTTAAACCGTTAAATTCTACGTATAAAGGTGCTTTGGAAATGTTTTCGTAAAAATACAAAATTTTCCATAGCAAAAAAGTTACAGCCATTAGTTAAAAATGCACATTTTTGAAAAACGCCCCGTACCTCCGAAACGGTAACAGGTAACAGATATCGATGTGCGGTTTTCAGCATCATGTTTTTGATAAAAATTGAGCTCCACACACCGATATTAGTTTTCGTCTATCTCCTATAGGAAAGGGTGTTTCCGTTTAAAAGCGTCCAATTTCACCCACCCTGTACTTTGTATTACGATTTTTGGAGTTGCCTTCGGGTTTGCCGCACCCCAAAGAAATTCCTGGCTAGACTCTTGATTTCAATTTTCAATATAAAAGCACCTACTCCTTCTATTTAAAATGTTTTGTGCTTTACAATGTTGCCGTATCATGTGGAAAGTGGTAGCATCTTTGTTATGGTTAATTTAAATAGAGTGTTCGATATATTATTACATTTTTGGACACTACTTTCATATCTCATAATTTTTTGAATTAATTAATTTTCATTATAATCAGATATTACACATGGAGAGTAAAAAAATATTTTTATTTTCCCTTTTTATACAATTGCTTGAATCTTCGTTATTTTAAATTCTACCCATCAATAATATACATCATGTTCTTATATACCTAAAATTTTCGTTTTTTTAAATAGGGCCGATATATAAATTAATAAGTTTATCATTATAGCTTCATTTCAAGAGTTTTGTTACCATGACAATTTTAGAAATTTAGCAAGTAAACTCTAATTGATACTTATAAAGTTTGAATATTTGTCATGGTTTCAATTGACGGGTTTGTTGCAAAAACCGGCCAGCTCAATTTTTTTTCAAAAATCACATTTTCAATTATACTTGACTGAAGTATACTAGGGACCCGAATTCATTTGAAATAAAAATGGGATTAAATTACTAATGAAATAAATCATATTTGTCATACAATTAGTTTTGCTATAGTTTTTATATTTTGTGTCAAAAAACAGATGGCTCAATTTAAGAAAATATTGTTTAATAAAAACTATATTCACTGTGTTCACCACATACGACACGGAGTATTGTAGCTAAATGACTATATCTTTACAAATTGTAAGTTTTGTTGAAGGACTGTTAGAGCTACAATTTAAAAATAATTTTGCAAGATACAGATTGTCCCAAATAAGTAAAAAATACTATAGTAGTATTCTTTTAAATGGAACACCCTGTATATTATTCTATTTATAGATTCTACGATTGAAATAAAGGTAAATTTGATTAAGGTTTATCACACTTAAATCTTTCCGTTTTTTAATTATTTTCAATTTTGTGAAATTGCAGTAAAAAATTTAAGGCTTCATTTCTCCAAGGGTATCAAAGTTTTTAATACTAGATATTTTCTGAAGATTATTTATTTATCAGATATTGTGTTGCAACAATAAAAATTATACTACCTTATACAGAATGTCCAAAAATTTATATTAAATAATTACTAGAAGTAAACGGCAATAACTTGTTTAATTTAAATGGAACACTCTGTATGTTTTACGTGAGGGTTCCGTGAACTTTAATGTTTTTGTCAATTTTACACATGTAATTTTATATTTCGAAAACTATTAGACATAGGTATAGGTTAATATATTAGAAAAATTATGAGATATGACAGTAGTTTCAGAAAATATAATAATATACTGAGTTTTCCATTTAAAATAACAATAAGATGCTACTACTTTTAGTGGGAAGCGGCAACAGTGTAACGTTGAAAATCATTTACACATAATATAGAGCAGGAACCTTAATACAAAAATCTAAATTTAAAAAGAAAACTATAACCGATTCTCCATAAACGTTTATCGTACCATGGCCGTGGCTATTCATGGCCATTCACCCTGTTAAAGTTCAAATTAAGTTGGTGTAATTGACTGATGAAGTTACAGATTGATTGTTACTTATATACTGATTTAATTTTGTTGACAAAATCCGTAACAAGATTATGGAATCCCTAGTGGCTAATTATTTTAAGTACTTCATGACTTATTAATTCGCATTTCCTTTAGGCGCATATAGTCAGAGAAATGACCCAGCCTTCCAACAGAACGTCCGTTTTAACCCAGAAGGCAAGTACGCCACCTATAACAAGGGTCTCAAAGCCAAAGAGGAACCAGCAACTCAAGCGTCGAACGACAAGTTGGCATCTTTGTTAGGTTAGTCAAAGCGTACATTATTTTTTTTACTTTAAGTCACGAGAAACGTTTTGACAATGTAATAATCGTGACACGAACGATCCAGTTTAGAAACAGACGACGACGTTCCCCTTATCGCACGTATCAATTGGAAGAATATTTGTTACCTAATCCGTCTTACTCGCCCGATTTAGTTTCGTGTAAGATGTGTTATAACACGGCGGAGAATCGTTTCCGCATGTAGAATCTTCGAGAACCGCTTGTTTTTATCGCTAATCTATTGCGGTCTTGTGAAATAACGAATGCATGTTAAATTACAAGCAAATATTGTGTCGTTTTGTCGTACCTTTATAACTCTCTAATTTTTCGATTTAACTGTTAATTAAAGGACTAAAACAAGATTTCTGCATCCATTTGTATCTTGATGTCCTATCTTGAAAGTTACATAATTGAACACCCATCAGGCATCTTACGTGCTTTCCTTGATTCCTGGATTACCATTGTCCTGTTAACCAACCTAGCTTATTAAAGATATAAAAATTTAAAATATCCCAGTTTGAGATCTCATCCAATATTGATTACCATATTGTAGATACGCTGGGCATATATTAACGCTTTATTGTGCAAAAAGCCAAAACAGCTTCATCGACAAAGCAATCACAATAATTTCAGACCTTCGCGAAATGCGGGAAAGAATGAAAGCGACTTGATATTCAAAGGCAGATGATTGTACATTTTTTTGGCATTGTACAGAATTGAGCCTTTAACTAGTTCTGAGCTCGGGGTTGGCAGATAAAGATCGGGCTCCGCATTCCTAAGTGGATAGTTATGGGATGGCCTTTCGGGAATAGCAGATATGTGCTTGCGGATTAAGCAAACGGATTCAAAAATGAATAAAGAAGGAAGAGTCGGTATTTTGAAATTTTTAAAGATATTCTGGCAGTGAGTTCTACTGTTCAGTCCCAATAAATATCGAACTGCTCTCTTTTGAAGCCTGAAAATACGATCAAATTTTGTTGCGCAGCAAGTACCTCAGCATGGAAGGGCATAACGAAGATGTGACTCAAAAAGGGCATAATAGACTATTCTAGAGGTTGATAAGTTAAGCTCCTTAGAAACTGATCTTAGCGCAAAACAGGCTAACCAGAGTTAAGCATTGGTCTCCCTTAGTGCTCTCCATATTGTTCTGTCTTGGACAAATCTCATCCACGCTAATCCAGCTGCCTTTTTGATGTCATCATAACCAGCGTGCAATAGGTCTTCCCCTTGTTCTCTTGCTGTTCCACTGTCTTCATCGCAGTCCCATTTTTGCTCTTCATCTCTCTCGTTCACATCTGTCACTTCAGTTATATATTGTATGTTCACATTTAGTTTGATTATCAGATAGCGATTAGCGATACAGACACATTCTTTTATTAGGTCTCTGGCAGATTCTTAATTTGATCACTATTTGCCAAGTGAAGGTCCACGTTTCTGAGCCATTAGTAGTTACTGGTAGCACACACTTGTTATAGGGATAGCAATAATCACACAGAAATTAAAGCAAACTATTTAGCAAAATGTCTGTTGTTTACATCTGAGTTAAATTTATATTTTAGGTTAAATTGTAAATGGGGTATATTGTTATTTGTTCCACGAGAAAATAATTAATACACTACTCAAAACTACTGTCGCATATTTGAAAAATAGTTATTATTAAATATTTTTAATTGAATCATGCATTTCTGTGTTCCTCTTGAGAGTTTTTTGGGGATAATTAGATGACAGGCAATTTTTAGTCGGCCGACAATTTTTTTCAATAATAAGGGGCCCTTCTGGAAACACTGCAACCTGTGAGGCCTATTGTATTTGTCCCCCTTCTCTGTCTACACCCATTCTCCTATCACTGTAACCTACACCAATTTATGAAGGTCCTTACGGATAGGATGGGAGCATAGTTTCTCAAGTTCTAGCCTTGCTGTCCCAATAAAAAATGTCGCTTGTGATCCAGAGCCTCGCTGTGACATATTATGTGCTCCGATGTTTCAGGATCTTTAGTCTGCAGCAAAGATTGCATTGTTACAAGTTGAGCATGTTCAGGTACACCTGAAGTCAGTTGGAATAGATTGGAACTCGAAAATATAATAATAATTTCGGCACTGTCTTTGTTGGCGCCTTTATCGGCATTGTAGGGACAAGGGAATTAAGAGTATCAGTACTTCCAATTGACTTCGGAAATACAGAGCCTCGCTGATAACATAAACATAACACTTGACAGCCAGATGTCCTGTTATAATCCGAACTTTATTCCTGCTAAGCATTAGCAGTCCCTTTGTGGTTTTAGAGCTAGGTCCTTGGATAAAGGCCTTGCTCTGTTTGTGCCCCTGCCTCGTTCTCCAGTGGATATTCTGGTTTTTTCTGATCCAGAGTTTTAGTGCACTACGGGCCATTCATTTGGATATTCTCCGCAGATAGACCAAGATAGAATGCCGATGATCCTTGCCTAGTTAGCTCATCGGCTTTTTCGTTCCCTTGGATGCTGCTGAAAAAAGCACCCAGAAAAAGGCCGACTGTTTACTTGCAGATTGTTAACCAACATATTCTTATGAAGCCACGCTCACATGAAATCAAATAGTCTGCCGATCGGCTCCATAAGTATGTATTGTGTTCACTTTTACAACTTCCACCTAGTTCGTCGCCTAAAAATTGCATGTCAGCTCGTAGGCTTACTGTTTTGAATTTTCCTTTACTGTATCCAAAACCGGTGGCTGGCCGTAGCGCAAGCAGTAGTGTGTTGATCTGCGGTGCGAGACATGGGATGGTACTGGGTTCGATCCTCAGCCAGTACGGTCGCTTTATTTAAATAAAAATATTGATTTATCTAAATAGAGCGCCCAACGAGCCGCCACCTCAAGGAAGGCAATGGCAAACCACCTTGAGTATATTTGTCTTGTACAGCCTCTCAAATAGTGCCGTTCGGATTCGACGATAAGAGTTCGGATTCGATTTCAAGTTGCTTTCCAAATTATCATTCTTTTTTAGAAAATATGCGATAATTGTTTTGAGTAGTTTATATGACAGTAGCAGTTACTTTTCATTGTTTTTTCTTCTGTCAAATTTTGGATGTTATCTGTGGGAATTGTCTCTCTCCCGTGGAGATTGGTGATTGTTTTAAATGAAAACAATGGTTTAAACCCAATTCATTATAAGTCAATTTACCTCCGTTTGAAATTTTCATTTTCAAAATCGTGTTCTATTTCTATATAAAATACAATTATAAGTCGCCAATATATTTTTTGCTGTTTTAAAATGTTAAAGAAGCACAAAATTTATTTAGTCCAATGCTACGAAAAGGGTGATAATAGTATCGGAAAATGTGATACTTTAACATCAAAAAATATGACGTTAATCAAAATTAATTATGTATAACAATCTATCAAAAAATGAAATCGAAATGATATTACCATAGTCTTTTAATTTTTAGGACTTTTAATTTTTTTAGGATTTTTTTGGGGAAAAAATTACATTAAAAAACTACATTTTTATGTTTTTTTTTTATTTTTTCTAAAACGGTATGGATATTTAGAAAATTATAAACGCCATTTTACAACAAGCAAAAATTCTTCTGAAGAACGCATTTCTTTCAAAAAGTCAATAATAAAAAAGTTTTTCCTCTTATAACATACTGACTGTAATATACAGGGGGACATACTGAGTGTAATATACAGGGTTTCCCAGAAATAAGTGTATATACAGGGAGTCCTAGAAATAAGTGTATTTTAACTGGTAGAATATTTCAACTCCAGAAACACGCCTATGAGATTTTTTCCGCGAAAAAAAATTTGAAAACTCGAAATTTTTTGAAAATGTTTTTGGGAATTCTTTTAGTTTTTAGTTAAAAAACATAATTTCTTGTTAATATGACAACATAGGTATTAGATTCAATTTACAAGAAAGAAAATCCGGAAAAGATCCAGTGGTTCAAAATTTTAGCAAAAATAATTTTGTTTGACATTTTCGAAATAAAATAACTCCGTTATTCTGGACTTATTTGAAAAACGATAAATAAAAAATATGTTTCTTATATCGAGATCTTCCAAACACCAGCGCAATACAGACAAGGTGCGTTTGGTATCGCGCTGGAGTTTGTAGGCCTATATATGCGCTGTAAGCCTTTCCAAATACCAGTGCAATAATTAACCACATTAAAGTTCGCATGGTTTATGAATGTTTTGAGGTTATATTTTTTTGTGCTAAGAAATGTTTACTGGCTATTACTAGTACACAAAATGAAGGAAGAAGAAGTAATTAAGTTACTTGATACTTTGTACGATGATTATAAACTGTTAAAAATACAAATTGAAAGTGATAAATTCGAAGTTCTTGTGCAATGTAAACTTTTGCGATAAGATACTTTCGATAGCAAATGTGATGAATGAATAAAACAGTTTTCACAATTAACAAATACAAATTGGATTACAAAGCGATGCTTTTCCAAGCCTGTGCGATATGAATTTCGTAAAATATTTTTGTGCCAATATTCAAGTTTAAATAAAAGTGACAAACCTAGCGAAAATAATACTTCTCGAAACCTAATGTGCCGTGCAAATATTGACTTTAAATTTAAGAAAATTAATAGGAACACTAGAATTAGTGAGAATAGTCAGTGCAACACTTTAAGATTTTTTGGAAAAGGCGATCAGAATGGTGCTTTCATACAGGTATGACGTAATAACAAGAGGAAACGACACGATAACTACTGTGAGGCGTCAATTCGTATTTTTAAAGATGTTGTGTTATAAAGATGTAAAGTTTTAAACGCTTGCACTTTGGTAGCCTTTATAGCGAAAACTTTTGAGGATATCACAAAAGAAGATTGTTAGAATTTTCTAATTTTAGACGCCGTAAATTAGATATTACGTACTTAAAGTTTTGTGAAAATTCAAGAAACCTATTTAAAATCAATTGTCTGAAACCATATTTCAAGTAGGATCTGAATCTGATGATGCCACAGTTTACACAGTGCATTAACTGAAATCTTTACTTTCTACCACGTGTATATAGGTAGCGATCTATAAAATATATTGCTGTTTATTTAAATGTGTTTTGTAGTAAATTCCTTTCATAGACACAGATCCAGTAGACATACTTTACTTATATGTTTTTTTGGTAAGTTTCCAATTAAAACAAAATTGTACGGCCCTAATCATTCTCTTAATCTATATTTGAAGGATTATAATACTATAGGTTTCATAATATATTCTCTTATTTTATGTAATATATCATCATCATAATTTTCAGCTTATTCAACCATTTCCAATTATGGTGTAGCCTCCCTCACATATTTAGAGACTCTCTTTGTAGCTGAGCCCATTGTTGTCTATTGTTGGCTAGGCTGGCCCAAGTTATCTCAGCTAATTTCCTAATATCATGATTCTATCTCAGGTTCGGTCTCAGGTTTGGGTTTGGTCTTCTTCTAGGTCTCTTAATTCCTCGTGGGTACCATGCTGTAATTTTTGTGGTTCATCTGTTGTCCGTTTTTCTTGACAGGTGTCCTGCCCATTGTCATTTGAGGGATTTGATTCTGTGGGTGACTTGTATTACCTTAGTCTTTTGTCATATCCACTCTATTTTTACGGTCTCTCTTGGTTATTCCCAGCATATTTCGTTCCATTGAGCGTTGTGCGAATTGCAGTTTTCTTATGATGTCCGTTTTAAGTGTCCAGGTTTCGCATGGTCATAACTGGTGATACACATTGGCTGAATGTTTTCTTCTTTAGTTAGAGTGGCATTCTAGATTTGAATATGATTAATTTCTTCCATAAGTACTCTATGCTAACTTAATTCTTCTATTGATATCTGGTAGCAGAGATTCCGAGGAGAGTATTAATTGTCCCAAATATATGTATTCTTCTACTATTTCTGCTGTAGTGTTATTTATTTGAATAACTTTTCTGTCTACTAGCTTTTTGTATATTACTTTAGTTTTTGTTAAATTAATTTTGGGACCCACTTTATTACTGGCTGTATTTCGTTCATTAATTTGGGCTTGTAGTTTGTCAGGACTATTAGCAAATAGGACTGTCATCAGCGAATCTTAGATGGTTAAGGTTGTCCGTCTATTTTTAATCCTTTGTTGGTCCAGTCCAGTTGACGGAAGATTTCTTCTAGTGGTGGTGTAAACAGCTTTGGGGATATCGCGTCCCCTGTCGTACTTCTTTGCCAGTTGGGAACTCCGGGGTTGTTTTATATAGCATTACTCTTGCTTTGGCTTCTTTGTATATATTGGCGAGAGTTTATATATAAAGCCTGTCAATACCTTGTTTCGCTAGGGCTTCTATTATTGCCTTAGAATATATCGAGTCGAAAGCCTTCCCAAAGTCTATAAAGGCTTTGGCTAGTGCAAGTTCGTATACTTTTATTCGGATGATTCGCTTAGTGTGTGTATGTGATCAATCGTGCTGAAGCAACTTCTAAAGCCTGCTTGTTCTCGCGGTTGTGCAGCGTCTAGCATTCTGTTGTTTATTATTTTTGTAAATATCTTGTATGTTACTGTTACAGAATTATTGGTCTATAGTGTATGATGTCTTTCTTATGAATTAGAATTATGTTGGCACTATTCCAGTCTTGTGGTATATGTTTTCTCCTTAGACAGTGGTGTATATATTTGCTAGGATTTTCCAAGTTCTCCTACCAGCGTACTTAAGTATTTCAGCTGTTATTCCGTCGTTCCCTGGTGTTTTCGATTTTTCATATCTTAAAGCGCCTTTTATACTTCTCCCACGAGAACTTCTGGGTCTTCTCTATTATATAATATATAAAATGGTATATATTTTGTCTTAACAATGAATATAGTTTTAGTGAAAATGCGGTATCTCTTTAAGTTAAAGCATGGTTAAAACAGTATAGAATTATCTATCTACTCTATGGTATTTTTTGTGATAAAATTATACAGGGTGGCGTACCTCATTCGCCTCGGTTGATTATATGAAAACAGAAAGATGTAGAAACAAAATGTTGTATGGGTATATGTAGAGAGGCAATGTGCATAATTTAAAATTATTTTCATACGTACAGGGTGTGATAGAACTAAGATACATACCAAAGTTATATTTTTTCTTATGGAACCCCTGATATTTTCTGTCATTTTTTGATTCTTGCGCATAAAATAAAGCATTTATTATAAGGGTTTAATATGTTTAAATGCCTTGGTTTCTGAGATATTTAAAGATATTTAAATATGCATGCTATAATAAAAAAAGTTTGTTCACACCCTGTACATTACTTTTCAAAGTTAATTCTTGTGCTGACTTTGAAGCCAGACAAGTAAACTTTACTAAAAAATGTTGCTTTCTTAGATGTATAGAGGGGTATCAAAAATTGCTGGTCTATTTTAAATATTTATTTTACATAAAAACATCGTTATTTCAAATACAACACTATGTATGGTATTTAATTTAAATAAAGTCAATAAATTAATGTCGATTTTGAAAATAGCTACTTACTTATTATTAGTACTATTACCATTAGTCACTAGCAAATTACCATGGCGACACCAGCCATCTTGATTGCCATTTTATTGAATAATTCCTTTTTATTCAAAATCTGAACCAGATAGTTTTAGGAAACCCTAATGTAGTTTGGAAGAGCATTTAAATCTGCTTCGACTTATTTAAAAAAAAAATACATAGTATTGCATTTGAAATAACGAAGGTTTTATGTAAAATAAATATTTAAAATAGATTAGCAATTTTTGATACCCCTCTATACATTTAAGGATGGGATGGTACTGAATTCGATCCTCAGCCAGTACTGTCGCTTTATTTATTTAAATAAAAATATTGATTTATCTAAATAGAGCGACCAACGAGCCGCCATCTCAAGGAAGGCAATGGCAAACCTCCTTGAGTATATTTGCCTTGTACAGCCTCTCAAATAGTGCCGTTCGGATTCGGCGATAAACTGTAGCTCCCGTGTACTTGTGAAACCCTGATGACACATCACAAGTACATGCGAGAGGTAGCCGTCGCTCTGTATAGAGTATGACACTGTAAGAAGAAGAAGCAATTTTTGATACCCTTTTTTTAAGCAATTTTTGATACATTTAAGTAAGCAATCAAATTTTTTAGTAAAGTTTATTTCTCTGGCTTGAAAGTCACCACAAGAATTAATTCTGAAAACTAATGTACAAGGTGTTGACAAACTTTTTTATTATAGCATGTATATTTAAATATGTTTAAATATCTTTTAGATATATTAAACCTTAAAATAATAAATGTCTTATTTTATGCCGAAGAATCCAAAAATTAAATAAAATACCGGGTGTTCCATAAGAAAAAATATAACTTTGGTATGGATCTTAGTTCTGACACACCCTGTACATTTCAAAATAATGCACATTGCCTCCCCACATATACCCATAAAAAATGTTGTTTCTACATCTTTCTGTTTTCGTATAATCAACCGAGGCGAATGAGGTGCGCCACCCTGTATATGATAAAAATATAATATTGAAAGAGATTCTTGAAAAAATATATTCTAATACAGAATATTTGTGTTCGTATTTTAGAATTGAAACATTTAAAACTAAAAGAACTTGGGACTTCCCTTGTTTTTATTTATTTTGCATACACGACGTTTCGGTCAGAAATATCACTGACCGTTATCAAGTGTGAACCTTGAAGAATGAAAAAAGAAAGAGAGACATTCCTTGAGAAATGTTGTGTAAGCAAAATATATAAAGACAATGGAAGTCCGAAATTCTTTTAGTTTTAATACCGAATAATTGTCTACCACATTCAACGTAACATTGAAACATTTGTTTAGGTGATGGCAATTTTGGAGTTATTCAGGGCGGTACATTCTACGCTGAGAAAAGCAACTACGACAGCGAAAATGGCTTTGACGACTTTAGTTCGTATTTCCGCAACGGTCACGGACGTCCATCTTATTTCTACCCAAGTAATCCCAAAGCAGGTACATCAGTACTACTCTAATTACTTTAATAACTTACTTCAAATATATTTTTTTATGTTACAGGTCAACATGCACAATTCGAGAACTTCAAAGACTTTGCCGATATCAATACTACACCAGATCGTCAATACTCGCAATATGTTGTGGTATACATGAATAAAAACGGTACTAGAACAAGTACCCTCGCTAAGGCTGAAAATCCCACTGAAAACAACGAACAACCTCCTCAAGAAAAAATAAATATATCAAAAGATGTAAACAGTCGACCAAGAAATATTCTGGAAAGGCTTGCAATGCTGGATAATGACAGTACTCAACAGAAAATAATAGTACCAAGTTACGATCAAGGAGACGTTATTGAAATTCCACCCGAGAAGAAAATTTCCAAATCAAAAAGAAAATTAGCTAAGCTATTACCAGAAAAGAAACACAAAGCCAGGTTACTACAGAAAGAGAAAGACATGGGAGAAACACTTTTAGCCCTGAGTTGATCATTTTCTTTTTCAGTAGGGACTAAATTAAAATAATGATGCCAAAAATAGGCATTTGAACATCCTATTCTCAGGATTACTAAGCAATAAATCATTGCTAAAATGGCGATTACCTAGGAAGTAACATTTCATTCAGCCCGTAATACTGTCATTCACAAATATTGTAATTTCGTGTTTTCCATGTTCCTATATTTTTTGTTACAGAGTTCCAAACATATAGCTCAAAAAGTAAATAGCGCCAATAACGGAAATCTTTATGTGTAAAGAATAGATTTTTTTATTATTTTAATTATTTTTTCTTTAAACTAAATAGGTGTTATACTTGACTGATAGTTTAGAATATAAGATATGTCTTAAGTTTAATGATAACATTAAAGATCTATTAATTTCATCGTTTATATTATAGTAAATATTATTCTTAATTATATAAATAATAATTTTATTTTCTTTAAAAAATAAACATTTCACGTAAAATGCAAACGCTAAATGAAACAAGGATTTTAGCCAGTGTTATAATTAGTGTTATACCTAGAATCATAAGTAAGTAAAGTAATAGTAAGGTAAAAAACAGGAGTAAACAATACGTAATAAAATAGTTGTTATAATAAACAGCAAGCATATTTTATACTGATAATGTATACCTATTGGTAGAAATACAAGTTTAAGAAATATAAAAATATTGAAATTATAAAATTTTAAACTTGCTAAGAAGCACAGCTTATTCATTGATCAGCCAGTCGACTTACGATCACTATATAACGTTGTGTTTCTACCTAGATATACAGGGTGGTCTGAACTGTATTCCGGAGCATAATCTGCAGATAAAAATAAGTAAAAAAGTTATTAATGTATGTCCTAAAATGCTTAGTTTCGAAAATACAGGGTGTAGAAGTTTCATTTTTATTTCGATTATTTTTCAAATAATTTCTGAAGCAACGTCAAAATTTAGATGAAAATTGGTGTCTGGTTTTTTTTTGACAGTTTATAGGGGGCGCCACCTACATGTGTTTAACTGTTTTGAACAGTAATAACTTTTCGTCCGTACCTGTATAAAGCTACTGTGTGAAAAATATATATTTCGGTGATTTTTTACGTAAAAAATATCTTTTGGTAATAATCGTTACGAGCAACCATTTTTAAGAGATTTAGAATGGAAATAGTCAAAACATGTCATTATTGACAAAATATAAACATGTCGAGAGAGTAGATAGTTATTTAACTGAAATGATAATTTTGGAAAGTTTAAATTTTTTAAAATTAATCATAAATGTTTCTTCAAAAAAATGAAGATAAAACAGTTTCTGTGGAACTTTTGACACAAAAACATTTCAAATTTGTGATTTCATTTAGTCAACATGTTTAATTTATGTTAATGACGACAGGGTATTGATAATTTCGATTCCAAATATCTCGAGAACTATTACTCGTAGCGATTTCTACCTTCTACAAGTAGGAGCGCCCTCTACAAGTAGGAGTCATATTGACATCAAAATCAGATTTCCCATGTCAAAAAATGCCCATCCATCATTTGGACCTTCATCCAAATATTGACGTTACTTCAGAAATTATTTGGAAAAAAACTAAATAACAATGAAACTTCTACGCCCTGTATCTCCGAAAATAAGCATTTTAGGACATAGATTTATATGAACTTTTTTACTTATTTTTATCTGCAGAATATGCTGCCGAAGTTTCCAGAATACAGTTCGGACCACTAACCTAACCAAACTGACTAATTCATTCGGCACGAAGTTGCACGAATAAGTTTTAATTGATTTGGTTTCAATTGACCTTTTTTAATGATTCTCTTTTTTAACTTCATTACGAATTGGATTGCTTTCAATGCATTACCTGTAATTTCGTAATTTTTCGGATAGTAAGTTACAGAAAGCAGCTAGAAGCTAGTACTAGATATTCGTTCATCTTTTGCTATGTAACGTCGGACTTTGAACCCCATTGAAGATCCCTTTATAAAATCTATCGAAATTAGTTCTCGGACTGTCTGCATTATGTGTACGAGAAGACGCGGTTATTCAAAAGCTAGCGAAGATGACTAGCTGACAGTGAATAAGCTGTGGTATGAAAAAAATAGGATAAATTTAGGATATTTATGTCTCTTTTTTAATCCTTTAACCTAATAAAAATCTAGTATGAAAATAAGTATTGTAATAAAATCTGGTATTTTTAATTGATGCAACTTTATTACAGTTGAGTGTTGGAACCTTTGGTGTTAGAACAGCAAAATAAAACACTAATTCACCACAATACTTAGACCTTAACTGCTGACCTAATCATAGATTAAACTTACTTTTGCATGGTTAGCAAAACTTACATGGTCAGCAGAACGCGCGTCCAGTACAAAAGTAAAGTGTTTTTGGTGTATTGTAGTGAATTAGTGTTTTATTTTACTGTTGATGCAACTGTCAAAGATATTTTTTATTAATAAGATATATGCTACAACCACGACCTGGTTTCTATAAACAAATAATGACATAAATAGATTAAGATTTCGATCAACGATAAGATATTAATTTTATGTAAAAATGATTTTATAACATTCTGCTTGATAGTAGATTGTAGTTGTAAGGCAAAAAATGTACTATTGAAATTATATGTCAAAAATATATTTTTTATAATAACATTGCTTTCATTTTCTTTATCATCCTTTATACAGGGTCCGGCAATAGTGCGTCGGGCATCTGTAGCTCCTAGAATAACAAACTTAGAATTTTGTTTAAGAGCAAATCTAAAGTATGTTTTAGGATGTATTCCAAGAAAATATTTTAACTTCTATAGGGTGTCTCAAAAAAGTGTGAGTGGATCGGGATGATTTTTTTAAAGGAACATCCTGTATATTATTGCATTTTTGGCTTCTTTTCATATCACTTTACATAATCCTAAGCTAAGATATGAGTAAATATATCAGATAGTTTCAGAGTTATTAATAAATAAATAAAAAATATATATTTTTTAGCCTTTCTTAAAAAAATTATTAAAAATACAAGAACTGTCCTAAAATCAAAACTATATTAGATATTTAATTTAGATGGTCTGTGCTTACTTTACTATAAATATGGTAATCGTATATCATACAGGATGTTCAAACTTTTACGCCAAACTTTCTAAAATATAAAATAATTTTTCTTCGTTTTTTTAAATGGAACACCCTGTATATTATTTTTTCAATGTATGGAGAATTAAAAAATCAACACTTTTTGTAGAGTATTTCAAAATTTTTAACGGTTTCACAGATATTCGCGTTTTATATTTCATATCTCATTTTCTATAGTAAATTTTTATCAAAGCCACACCCAATGATTTTTCTCTCGTATTTTAACATTGAGAGAGACATATGAAATAATACTTCGTGTATCTGCGAAACCATTAAAAATGTTGAAATATGTACTTTAAATACAAAAAAAAATCATTTTTTAATTCTCCATCTAAAAAAATAAAGAAAAATTATTTTATATTTTAGATAGTTTGGCGTAGAATTTTGAACATCCTGTATGATTCAAGAGATTACGATATTTATAGCAATGTTAAGTATAATCTAAAGTAGTACCACCTAATATAGTTTTGATTTCAGAACAGTCATTAAATTTGTAATATTTTTTTTAATGAAGGTTCAAAAATATATTTTTTTATTTATTTATTAATATCTCTGAAACTATCGAAATATATTTATTCATATCTTAGGATAATGTAAAGTGATCTGAAAGGAAGTCAAAAATGCAATAATATACAGGGTGTTCCGTTTAAAAAAATCATTCCGATCCACTCACACTTTTTTGAGCCATCCTATAGAAGTTAAAATATTTTCCTGAAATACATGCTTGCATATACTTTAAGTTTACCCTTAAACAAAATTGCCAAGTTTTTTTATTCTAGGACCTACAGATGCCCGACGCATTATTGCCGGACCCTGTATATGAACGTAAAATACTACAAGGATACTACCCATCATGAGATCTCCTTATCGGTTTATTCAGATCTGGATACATGTCAATTTTCCTTTTTGTTATTATACCCAAAAGTGGATCTCCTAATACAAACCTAGTACTGATATCTTACCACAGCAACTGGGAATTGTCAAACGTGGGTTCTGTAGTCTATCCAACGAGAGAATCTATGATAGTGGCAGTTGTGCCTGTCATTTTAATTCAAAAGTAATTTTATTTTCTGTCATTTCTTAGATGTCATGTGTTGAAATCTGAGTGGTTGCGTAGGCTATACCTAGTCAGTTTATTATTATTTATAGAAATAATATCCAGTCATAACATTACATTCATTTAGACCAAAAAAAGTGTGTATCGGCTACAGTAAGAAGAGAAAAATTGTTCAAGATTTTATTGGTTCTATTGGAGTTTTTTTGGACAACTTAACTCTTTAACTCTATACCTATAAGAATTCTATAACTTAAGTAATGACAAAATAATATTAATTTAAATAATTTCTGTAACAAAATATTTTTGCTTAAAATATTAAAAGAACTTACATCTTCATTACTTATATTGAAATTTACTTCTAAAACTAATAATAAATCAAAGACAAATAATCAGGATATAATAACAAAATACCATATATTTCCAAACATTTAAAAATATATTTGGCTCGCTATGTAAAAGCTAATTTTATAGAATTCTATTATATATTAAAGATTTCTTTCATACAAATATTACCACTGTAAGAAAAATAAGTAAATTTCTGCTTATTCTAGCACAAAGTCGATACGAAGCTATTGATTTTTGGATCTCTGATTGAGGCTTAGGGTACAGCTTTTAAGTAAGAGATGCCGCTCTGGGTCCAAATGATATCTAGGTCATAACTGATCTTGCTAAATAATATTTATTATAAAATTTAGCGATATTATTTAGATGAAAATAAAAATTCTTAAATATAATATATGTATATTGCAGATATACAGTAGAGATAAATAAATGTAAATAGAGTAGTAATTATCGTAGCATCAAAATATATTTTTCCAAAAAACATTCAAAAATATATTTTATATCGTTATATGGACCTAATATTATTTGCAGTAAATACTATCAGTATATTTTAATTAGTTTTTCTCAATAAGAAAATGAACAAAATAACCGAAAATGCGGATTTATTTTATTTTCATTTCTAATCCGCGGTCTTTTAGTATAAATAACAAATTTAATATTTGTTTCAAAAATGAATGTTCTATTTGGAACAAATATTATTTTCACATAAATAGAAACTAATGGTAGGTTGTTTCTAAGTCAGAATAAATCATGATTTAGAAAGTAATATATTTTTAAAATATCAATGATCTACGCACATTATTGAAAAATCACACAAAATATTGGAAAATTACACACATCAGTTATAACACCCAAACGAACCACAATCACAAAACAGAGACCATTCTTTTAGAGAGAAAAAATAGTTATTTGTGTAACTAATGCAAAAAGGACATATTTGTTGCACGACGCATGGGTTTTGCAGTTCTGCAATCATGCTGAGAGCTTCAAATGTGCTTTTTGCACATGTTGCACACGACATTTTTTCTACGATCGAATTGAAATTCTTATTTAAATGTTTATTAAAAAGTTTTTACAGTAATTTGCAGCATAATATTACCACTAACAATGACAACACTGTCAACAAATTATTTTTACTTTTTTTAATAACTTTTTTTTGAGTTGATTTTAATTTTAATGTAGCAGTTTGAACAATTCGCTAAGGTATTTGATGGACAAACTTCATTTCCAGTAGTCTTTTGAATTTTATTCAAACTCATTCTCTTATTTCTATCGTGGAGATCTCGGGTTCTTGTTCTTCAGTTAAAACTCTTTTCCAGAAAGTTACTACGAGGGGT